CAGTGCTGTATTAAAAAATTGGGATACATTTTCAAACATGGAGCAAGAATCTTACGGTAAGCATAATTAATTTTAATGTTTCTATGCAATTTCTATTAATATTATACAGGATGATTTTTTTATCGAAGAACACTCATTATTTCTGAAAGTATAAACTTTTTTCCAAATTTATTTTTCTTAAAATTTTAAATACATGCTTTTCTACATTTAAACAACACATTCATTTTTTTCACAAATATATTTATTGATCAAACTGTTATCACCTTTTGATTTTCCAATGGCAACCTATAATAAAAATCTCATAAAATTATAAAACTATTTTTTTTATGAATTATAACGTCCAACTTGTCATTTTTAGTCAATCCATTAGCGAGATACAGTGCCTCAAAGTTTTGTAGTAAGTAATTGTGCTACTGTTTATAAGTAGATAGTACTTTTCGTTCGTAAAGACCAGAAGTTATAACTAATTTATATTGTTCAACTCAAGGTTTTCGTACCTGCTATTATTTATAAAAAAATAATACAAAATTATGGACTGGAAACAGTGGGAATGGTAACCGAAATGTCATTTAGATATTATGCTGGGGGTATCTATGCGATTAAAGCGCTATCTAGTAATCCCATATTCTGATCGGCACTAACAAAAATCATTATACATAGCACGAAATAAGATAATAATAATAATCATAGACCTAATGCCACGGACCATGATATAAAATAGAAATAACAACTCACAAGGTATGATCTCATTGAATACCACTTTATGGTATGTTTTACGCACCACATATGGTGTATGTAAAGTGACGTCAGATGCGCGACATTAAAATGGAACTTCAATGTATTTGTTACGCACGTGACGTCAGCGTCATGCGCATCGGTTTGGCCGTTTGGCGTGATCATACCTGATTATTTTCATCATGCCACGGACAAATTGAAATTAAAATATTTACGTTATTTTTTATTATCACTCTTTTAACCGTGATTTTAAATATACCTTCAAGGCTTCAACCGTGGTTTTAACTAGCTGTCTAGCTGCCAGAATGATGATCAATTCTATTTAATTTACTCATAAGTGTTAAGTTAACTACGCCGTGTACAACACAATACTTACCAATTTGTTGTAGGTGCGACTGTGCGAGAAGTACTTGTTTACAGTTAAAGTTTAAGTATACACATTTATATTAACTAGTAATTTTAACAGACTATAGAACATGAAAAATTGGAAAACATGTAAAATATACATATGCAATTAATAAATTATACATATACATATAATATTATAGTAATAATATAATTATTTATATACAAATATTATAATAGTACATAATATTATAGAAAAAAGATAAATATATTTATATTTTATATTTTATTTTATGTTCAAATTGTTTACCATTTTCGACTAAACAAATATCTAGTCGCTTTAATACCTCAGTGGATGTAACWTTTTTGAGTATTGAAGTTTTAATTTTTTTACAACAATCTTATTTTTTGTTTAAGTTCATCTACACTTTTGATCTCATCCTTGTATACTTCATTTTTTAGATAGTCCCATAAAAAGAAGTCAAGAGCACTCAAANAATGGGTTATTTACACAACCAAAATTATTTTGTCTCCATTTTTTGTGTAAATAGGCTACAGTTTCTTTAATAGGATTTTTGGAACCATTTGCTAATGTTTCCCAGCAATTATCTTCCAATAATATTTTGCTTTCATGTAATCGCAACGCTTCAGAAGCACCCATTCCATTATTAAAATATTCATAGAAGACTTCTTCCACCTTAAACRAATGTATCAGAACTACTTATATAAATGTATATCTTAAGGGTGTTATGAATTTATTAAGAACAAGTAAATAGATTCTGTTAAAATTCCATAAACAATTATATGAATTATTACTGTAAAGTTAATATTTTATATTCTGTAAAATTATTTGAATGATTATTTGTATGTGTTTATAAATTTATATTTGAATATGTTAACTGTATAATATTCTATATAGGTAATATTATTATTATTATTATAGCACATTATTCAATTTTATGAAATATATATAAATCTAATTTATATAATATGTACCCATACCTAATACCTAATCTAAATTATATAATACCTATATTAAATTAAATATTTATATGTATTTAATGTATACCTATACATTAAAATATAAACCTATATATTGTGTATGTATGTAAATAAATATTAATTACCTCATGTGTTATTCGTAAAAATTTAATTGAACCACTTGTATTTACCGAGTGGTTATGGTTTTGATACAATGATATTTTTGCACAAAGTGGAGGGTCCCTTTGTAAAAATGTATCATTCCTTCTTGTATTGCGGTTATTTTTTTTTAATTAAGATGTCAATTTTGGCTTCACATAATGTGTTTCTAGCAGTTTGTGTATCTTTTGATTTATTCACTTTACTGTGCTGGCATGCCCAATACTTATGAAATACAACTCTAAAGAAAACYAAAAAAAATTACTACCAAGCAATAAAAATTAATATTTCTGAGGCACCTACCTTGATGGATTATCTAGTTGTCCAATACGAATCCATTGCGTTTTTGTAAACTCTTGATAGAGTGTGATAAAATGTTCAACTTCGTTGACATCATTAATATTAGCTCTAAGTATTAGGGCTTCCGAAATTTTAGAAGACAATATTTCATCGGATATAACAGCAATGATTTGATGTTCATTTAAATAATTTATTAACTTATCCATAATTAT